GGAAGGAAGGAAGGAAGGAAGGAAGGAAGGAAGGAAGGAAGGAACTTAAGAGGGTTTTTTCAGGCTCTTTATGTGTTGATATATTACTAAAACAAATAAATGTAATATGCTTGAGGGCCTAATTGTATTAAAATTGAACTTTTTGAGAGTGTCTCCTGTTGACTGTGCTTCTTCCCTCTTCCTTGTTTCTTTTCTGGTGTTGTCCTATAATGGCCAGGGACAGGCCATGTTTAACCCGAAGACTACATGCAGCTCTTGAGCATTTCCCTCACAACACACACACACTTTTTTTTTCTTTTTTGAAGCCTTCAGAGATTTTGCTCAAATTCAGTGATACAATGGCTGAAATCAGCAATGTGCTAGGAAACACATGAAAACTGTATTGTGCAATCCTAAAACGAAGCTTTCTGCAATTTGAAAAAGCCAAAGAAACATCTCAACCTAACCCTCTACCAAAAGTTTGCAATCTTCCATACTGACAAAAGGTAGTCCAGTCTTGCCAAAAGTTACGTATGGCAGATGCTTCTCATTTGGCCAAGATGCAAGTTTTTAGAAGTTATCTTTGCCAAGCTAACAGAAGCCAGGAACAGAATGAAGGACTGCAGAGGGAAGATGTTCAAGTAGTCTCCAATTCAATTCCTCCAATCCACCCCACGGGGCTTTACTCACCAGATAGAGAAGTAGATTCAGTTTAGTGTGGCAATATATAATGAATGCTAATAATAACGCAAATGTGTACATAAACATACATAAATAAAGGTTCTAGTTACCTGGTTTTGATTCATCACATATAAGATAAGTGATGTTTTGATATAAACTTTCCAGTGCATTGTAACTTGGAGTAAAAAACCATCTTCTATTCTCACCAACTATTTCTGCTAGTTCTGTTCTACTAGCTTCATCTATCCCAACAGCAATGACCTGGATGCCTTCTTGCTTCAAAGCCCAAGCTGCTGCTGGGAGATTAGGTCTATCTGTGGGTGTTGTTGGTTCATCTGTGATAAGGACGATGATCTTTGTGATACCTAGGAATGATGAACGGCCACCATAAGCAGCACCAAATTGTTCCCTTGCAAAATTCAAAGCTCTTGCTGTAAAGGTGAATTCTCTTAAAGGAGCCAGCTTTTGAATGGCTTCCTTGAGTTGAAATTTTGTGGAATATGTGTTTAGCTGAAATTGTGCTATAGGTTCAGTGCCAAAGACAACAGCCCCAAACTGAACATTGTCTTTGCCCACCACAGAGTCATCCACTATTGCTTCCATGAGCCATTGTATCCCCTTGAACTGCAGATCTGTAACGTCTCTGGATCCATGAACTACAAAGATGATGTCAGCCACTTCAGTTCGCTTGCATACTGCCATTGAAAAAGCAAAATAACACTGTTAAATTTCTGCTTTTCTGCCTCTGTAAGCTAGCAAAGTGTTTCTCAACCTTAGCAACTTTAAGACATGTGGACTTCAACTCCCAGAATTCCATGGCTAGCTGGGGAATTCTGGAAGTTGAAGTCCACACATCTTAAAGTTGCCAAGGTTGAGAAACACTGATCTAGCATCAAGTGCTTCTTCAACCTTGCTGTTAACCATTAAGATACCTCTTTGAAAAAGATGAATTGCTAAAAGGTGGGATTAAAATGGGAGCCAAAGAATAAAGCAAAAGTGGAGAATAGGTGGCTGTCCAGATGTTATAAACTATAGCTCTCAGAAGCCCTAGGAAGAACAGTCTATGGGGAGGGATTGCTGAAAGCTGTAATTCAGCAACATCCAGAGGTCTACACCCATGAAACACAGTGGTTAAAGCAAGGTAGGATTCATAATAATTAATATACAGCATTTGGCAAGGGCAATCTGTCAAGAATAAGGAAGATGACCTTGATGGAGAGAGTAGAGATCAGTTACCAAAGCAACGAGGAGGGAAACATTGCTTAAGCCCAAACAATGAAGGAAAAATGCGACTGACACCCCTCTAATTCACATGAGTGAGGGAGGACAGAAACCATAATCAGTCTTGCAAGATTCTGTTACTATAGCCATTCTTAATCAAAGTAGCTTTAGATTTAATGTGGAGTTGATTTCTTGGTCTGATCTACATCTTGGGGCTGACACAACCTGAATTATCCAAACTGCCTTAAAATTTATTGAAAGAACCAGAGCACTTTCTACTCCCTTAGCATCTAACAATTATACTAGAAAATTTCTCTCTCTCTCTTTCTCTCTCTCTCTCTCTCTCTCTGATCAAGGGCAGCTTGCAAAACATCTTGTGGCATAACACACGTAATATCGTATAAAAGTATATGGACTTCATCAGATGCATGGATATTTTTCTCAGGAGTATGTAGGCAGCCATCATGCAGGGTGGAGGAAATGGTAAATATGATCATTTTGTGCAGTAGAGAGCTAGGGAGACTATGAAGCCTATTGGCTGATTTTGAACAAGTTGCTTTTTCTAAACCAACTGTCCCTCCAAAATATGTTCTTATATGGATAAAATGTAAGAGAATCCATTTTTTTTTGGAAGGAAGGAAGGAAGGAAGGAAGGAAGGAAGGAAGGAAGGAAGGAAGGAAGGAAGGATACTGTATCATCTCCATTACATTTCCTTCAAACTTCATAATTTATTATTTCTGTGAAAGAAATATATATATGTATATGTATATATTCATTTTTCACAGCAATATTACATGTATTTGATGAAATAGATTGTAGTCCAAATTTTGTGTGTTTAATCACAACAAAGATTTTTAAAAATGGAGACAGATGGAGAAAATAAAACATGCTACAAATGAGGGTTTAGCTACTAAAAACATCAGCATGGCTGGATAGAGCCTAAGGAGAGATGGAGATATTTTGTTGTCTGAAAGCAATTTGATTAGTACTTAAATATTACTTTTCAAACTGGCTAATGAGCACTACACTTGGGAACAGCAGGTTTATTTAGGGGATAGAGAGCAGGCTGCAGGGTAACATTAGCCCTGTCCTCAGACCTTTTGCTGTTGTTTTCTGCATGATTGCTAGCCCTGAGAGGTAGTCCAGACAAGAAGCACAACCAGGAGTACCAGCTCTATCTGGTCTATTGGAAGGTTACATTAACAGAGTCTTGTAAGACTGAAAGTATTTCTCCCTTTTACTCTCCAGAAAACTAGGGAGGGTCCCTTCTGAAATGTTTCCCATGCCCTCCCTCCTTCTGTGGGCTAAGACATTTTTTACCCACTGGTTGTCCAGTCTACAGCTCTCCCTCCTATCTCCCAAGGTCATTCCCACATAATGTTACAATGATAGACTTTGACCCTGGCAATCTATGGTTCTGGGCTATAGCAGAAAGTATGGAGAGAGTGTGCCCCATGATTTTCTGAAGACAGGAAATTTCATGCTTCTGTACTTACCCTCCCCAGGGTTGCAAATTTCAAACAGAATCGGCTTAACCAGAAACATGAGGGACTCAACATAATCCTCCAAAAATACTTTGTCCTGAGTGCCAGCAATGTCTAAAAGCTGGGAGTTGTTTGCTTTCAGTATTCCAATGGCATAGATGACAACACCTTTCTTCCTGAGTGCTCTGGCTGCTCTTCTCACATCATCGCTAGATTCTTCATCTGTGACCACTATCAAATATTGTTTTACACCCAAACGTCTTCCTTCGGATGAGTCAAAATAAGGGGAAGCAAAGTCTAGAGCTTTTCCAATTCTGGCTCCTTCCTGAACCTGCCTCATTGTAGTGATTGCTTTCCTCAGGTCACCCTTGTTATTGTACTTGTTCAGTGGGAAAACTTCTTCTGGAGTGAAGCCAAACTGGAGCAGCCCAATCCGAACCTTATCAGCCCCAACATCAGACTTATTCACAATTAACTCGATGAAATCCTTGATCTGTTCAAATTCAAGATGAGTCATGCTTTCTGATGTATCAATTAGCAAAATTATGTCAGCTTTCAAATTTTTACAGGCTGAAAGTAGACAAACAAATGAAAAAGAAACGTAAACATATTAAATAAATATGAAAAATGTGACAGGCACAGCAATAGGGCATTTCTATGATTCAAATCAATGAGACTTTGGCATCTGCCAACCTAATGTTCTCTGACTCTACATAATGTCTATTCTGATGTCATTCTTACCATATTCCTTAACAGAGATTCTCCAGAACCTAGGCTGCAGTTCAACTTTGCAACTAAGTTTCCACTCTTTAAACAATATGAGCTTTTTTCAGCTTCCTAAAATAATGCAAGATTAATGACTCAGGAGTTTTAAGAAACTTTTCCTACTTTACACTGCAGCTGGATTTTGTTGGGTTTTGCTCAGCTAACTATATGTATACATTGAAATCCCTATAATCCCTCATTTATAATAGACACATGCTAGGGAGAAACAATGAACAGTAGCTTTTCTGTTTTATATTATGACTGATTGTTTTAATACAGTTGTAATTTCCTAAGAAAAATACCAGTAGAATCCAGTGTTCTTCACATTTACACTGAGAATTATGTAGTAAGATGACACCTTCTACTGAACTAATATATGTTGCTAAATAAACTGGCAAGCTTTCAAATTTTGCAATTCAAAATCTTACATCTCTTTTAAAATAATTAATTCATTACATTCTATAAATCCCTCTTACCATTTCTGGAACCACAGAAATCTCAGCCTTCTCATTCCACCACTTTACAAGTTAGATCAGATATGTGGTGATCAAAGAACAGGATTTGAAAACTCTCCTTATGGCGTCCATTCTTGACCCATAGTGAGACATAGTTACAACTGTCTCACTGTGTTCACACACAACTTGTGTTAAGCCTCAGCTTGGTATACTGAGAAAGTCACTAATACCACATCCTATGCTCTAAACCAGTGTTTTTCAAACTTGACAACTTTAAGATATGTGGACTTCAACTCCCAGAAGCCTTGCATCAGAGAAATCTATGCATCATTTTTTATCCATGCTCTGATCTGCATTTTTCTCTCAATATATTCTAAGAACCTGTTAGGCCCAGCCCAAGAACAACAGGGAAACAGTCCAGCCAAGTTCAGTTCTTTTATTGCTTACACCATATAGACAGACTCTTGCCAGACTGATCTGTACTACCCTAACCTAGTGGATATACCTTGGGAGATTCTAGGGAGTGGCTATGCTAAGTCTCTTCCTCTTCCAACGCTCCTGCTCCAGACTGTGCTGCCTCTTGTCTCCCCCCGCCCCCCGCCCACACACACACACTTCCTGCAATGTGCTCCCTCCTTCCTGAGAACCTGGTGCTCTATTGCATTCCATCACAGAACCAAATGAAATGTTTCACCATTCTGGTGCCTGGTATGAGCACCAAAAAGTTGCATTATCTTTGAATGCACTTAAGATGATAATACACTTCAATGCAACCCCAATATCAGAAATTCTCTGCTTTTAGAAAACCCATGAAACTTGCCAGATGTACCACTGGCTTACATAATGCTGATGTTGTAACTACTGTCCAGAAATGGAGATACCTATGAGAACCATCAAACCTAATGGTAAAGTGTCAGCATATTTCATAAAAAGACAATTCCGCAGCCATTTTCTAAAGATAGGTTGAGTGCCTGGTTTTCATGGAAAGCAGGCACACTCCTGTGGAGCTCTCTGATAAAAAAGATGTGAAAGCACAGCACACTGAAGTTTAGCAGCAACCATGCTTGGATAACAATCCAGGCAGAAGTCACCAAGGTGTGTGGACTTACTGGGAAGCCTAGCCAGGAGCTCGAATGGTCTCATCCAGGGAAACACTTTGAAGTTGCCTCCCTTAGTTATCTCTGCTTGCAGATCTTGTAGGGACAGCAGAAACTCCCTTTGAAACAATTATAAAAAAAGAAGGAAGGGAGTCACAGGAAGGAGAGAATGGAACATCTATGACACACTCCCTCCAGCTGTGCTTTAATGTGGGTAAGATCATTATTCTTTTCTTGGTATGGAATTAACTTAGAATTTAAGGCTTTGAATTTAGTAACTGGTATGTGGTATAAGGGTTGCTACTAGCTATACTATGCATTATTTCATTATTTTAACTTTCTTGTTCATGATTCTTATTGTCAAGTTCTCATTTAATAAGAAGTGAAAGCTACTTCTTTTCTCTCATGAATTTAGCCTCATGACTTTTCTTGAATGAGTCTTAGCTACCCTATATCTCTAAGAAATAAATACAGCCAAAAGTGAACCTCACACAAAGGCTTCTGTACTTGAAGCAACTGTCATCTGTATGGCTTTCCCATGGGATACCTTGTCCCTTAATAATCACCCCAAAAAGGTGGAGATTAAGAAGAAGAGTGTTGTCCTTTTAAATAATAATTCAATAAAGGTGAATTCTTTTCAGGTATTGCTTGGCAAACATAAATATGACCAGTGTAGGAAAAATACCATTAGTGCAGTTAAATGCAATTTGTTTCCATATATGAGGCCTTCAGAAGATTTGTTATGATTAAAGTTTGAGAATATTACATTGAGGAAAACACCTTACCCTCAGGAGAACAAATATCCCGCACAATATCATGTTTGATGAGCTTTAGGGAATCAAAATCATTCACAAAAAACATCCGGTCTTTGGTCCCAGCTATATCTTCTAGTTCTCCTTTTATAGCATTCTTGATGCCTATGGCATATACAACAATCCCTGCACTCCGCAGCTCTTCTGCAGCTTTGGTCACTTGATCCTGGGATTTACCATCTGTAACAACAATGAGGAACTGGGGGACCTTGTCCCTGGCTGAAGTTTTGAACAGATTCTGCATGTACCATAAAGCATCTCCAGTTCTAGTACCATGACCAATTTGCTGGATCGCTTTGATGGCTTTCTTTAATTGGGCCACTGTGTGGTACTGGTCAATCAGAAACTCTTTCTTGGGAACACTTCCATACTGAACTACCCCAAAACGAACTTGATCAGGGCCAACCTGGAACATGCTGATCAGTTCAATCATGAAGACTTTCATGTCATGGAAATCAGGTGGTTCTATACTGCCAGAACCATCAATCAAGAAATAAATGTCTGCTTCCTCTGTCTCTTCACAGCCTAATGGAAAGGAAAGAAAGGGGAAGGTAAGAATGACAATTCCTTTACTCTGAAGCCTAAATCCAAAGGGAGGGGAAACAGGATTCCTTTGCACATAGGTACCACAGGCTTCTTTGCTGGCTGTTAAACACAGCTATAGCTTCTTTTCCAGTCATGATAAGGGATTGGACCACAAATTTCACTATTTTCAGTGAAAAAGAACACCCTGGCCAGCCAAAGGAGAGGCCCATATTGCTTATCCTTCATGTAATAGAGCCTTCTGCCATCACTTAATTCAGCTTTCTCCAAGCTGAGGGCCTTCCAGATATGCAAACAACAACTCCCAGAATTTTCAATAATGATTACAATGGTGGGAATTCTGGATATGGCAATTTACACACTGGAAGTGCAGTGTGGTGAAGGTAATAGGTGAAGACTATGCTAAAGGGTGAATGGGGGTGAGTAGAATCAGAATAAGCGAAGGCTGATGAAGGCAATCTGCCCACCTTGATTCAACTATCTTTTATTTGATGTCATCCATCCCCTGCCCTATTTTGGTCCCTACTAGCTGCCTGAGAGAGAGAGACAAAGAGAGAAAGAATGGGGATATGTGTGTATCGATAGAAGTGGCAAGTCCAAAAAACCACTTACCAACACCTAATTTACCAAAGTTTATTGAAATAGGATTTGGGATTGATCAAGATATCATTCTCTTACCTTCCTTCAGGGTACGCAACCGCACTGGAATTGCAAGTGTTTGTGAAACAATTTCATTGCAAAGCTGTCTCTTTATAACATACTCCAAGTTTGATAGTTGCAAGAAAGATTCCATGGTGGTAACATGCTTCCTTGGGGGATGAGATGCAATTTTGTATAGCTGGCTACTCACTGAAATGTTTTTGATGCCCACGGCATAAACTGTAACACCTTTCCTTCGAAGCTTGGATGCAGGACCAGTGAACTTATCTAGAGACTGACCATCTGTGATCACTACAGCCAATTGCTGCACTCCTTGATTTTTCCTGCTCCCTGCTTTCTTGGTGAAAACCTTTTTCCTTAGGAAGTCTATAGCAGCACCCGTGTGTGTTTTCCCCCCACGATAAGGCAATCTTTTCAGATAGTTCACAACCTCTGACTTGTCTTCAAACATATTCAGGCTGAACTCTAATCTTGGCTTATCACTGTAAAGTACCAAGGCAACTCGTACATTATCTGGGGCAATTTCCAGAGCATTGATTATTTTGAGCAGAAAAGTCCTGATTAGTTGAAAGTTCTTTTGACCGACGCGAGTGGATTCATCCACAAGAAACACAATGTCTGCCACCGAGGCAGAGGAGCAAACTATGAATAAAATTAGCAGATAAAAATCAGTAAAAGCAAAGTGATAACAAAAATACAATCTTAGAAGTTGCATGAGACTTACTCTCAGGTAAGTGCATTTAAGATTACTGTCTGACTCTCAACTGTTTAAGAAGTAAGAGCAAAACTAATAGATGGAGAGATAATTAGAAATCCTACCAACAGGTTACAGGCAACATATGTAGGTAGATATCTATGGAACCAAAATGCACAACCTGAAACTCTAGTGCCAGATGTAGCCCTCCAAGCCTTGGGTGAGGCCTCCCTAGAGTCTTCCAAAAGATGCCACCAAATTGTAATTTTTAGAATAACAGAAGGGAGATTTAAATGAAATACTAAATTCATAGGGAGTAGTCACCCTTACAATATGTATTTTGTGTACTTCAATTTTTTTTTTAATATTTAACTTTTAATTTTATTTTACTCTAAATTAGAACCTCTTGGACTGGTATTTTGGAGTTTTATGGAAACTAACTGTGGTGTTTTCGCTGGCACATTTTTATGGATTGTAAACCACTCCAAGATTTGCATTTTGTAACAATTAATTAATTGAAGTTACTTTTTGGCCTAAACATGCCTATTTTTTAGTCCAAACCTCAGAACACCAGTCAAATGGAAAATAATCCCTTCATTTCCCTAATCTGTGTATCCATGCTATAAGTTCTTATGAGACCCTGATGCAAAGATAGGAAATAAATTCTGCTGAGGACAGTTTTCACAGTATTTCCTCACTGTGCAAGAATTTATTTAATTTGAAAGATCCAGGTCCTTCAGGGGGCATTTGTTGTTCTACATCTCCTTTCCCTAATCCAAGGCACTTCTAAAGGCATATGAACATTTTAGCCAACAAGGAAAATGCATCTCCTGATGAAGATTATATTATTTTAGACTACAAGTCCCACCAACTATGATCATTAGCCAAGCAGGATGAAGATAACATGAGCTGCCATTTAAAACATCAGGAGGACACCAGAGCAATACTCAAAACTATGTGCTGGACCACAAAATGGAAGCTCATTACTGGAAACAGTTCCCTGATATGCTGCAACTATCTTGGGTGAAGCCATCTCCCATGAAGTTAAAGAGAAGGTCAGCCATGACTGTTTTAACTTTATGATGTTGATCAGAAATATTGCTGGTTTGAATCAGTAGGTAGATATTAGAGTTATATCATAGTTCAAATTTGGGAATTGTCCCTGACCCAAACCCATAGTATAAACAATATAATTAGAGCTTGTCTATCATGACATATCACAAGGCTTCTGAAATTGCTGGAAGTTTTGTTGATTGTTTTATTACTAGATCTATCTAACAATCTAGATTTGAAGGGGAAAAGTTGATTTAGAGTGTCTATGACATGCACATTGCATCTATTGGCAGTATTTAAAGAAGCTATGGCTGCCACCTTAATTCCAGGAAAAGACATGTTTAAGAAAATGCCAACAGTGGCAATATAAACACTCATAAATGCACCAAAATACTTTTTCCCCTTTGAATCCAGATCTCTGCATGGCCCTGATTATTGAAGTCCTTTTGAGAATTAATGACATTCTAGTTCAAGCAAATCCAAGTGAGAAAAATTCAGGAAAGAATGTTCACTGACTTCATGAGGAACAATAAGAACAATAATGTTTTGTTGGTAGAAGCTGGATGAATTACATTGACCTCATTCCTATTTTAATGTGTAGTTCTTCTTCTAGTGACATAACAATACCTGCTGGCACATGTGCATCTACGGCAGCGTCATACTCTCGCTGGACTGGTGCTTCCACAACATCTATGATGATCTCGTGAACCTGATCAAGGCTCTCTACATCATCAACCTGGTAAACTAAAGGAGGGGTAGCAATCTTTTCCATTTCTTTCTTGTCAGAATGTAAGATACCAACTGTTGCAATATTCACTCCCATTTTCTTCAGATCCTTTGCAGCTTTCTTGACATTATCTTCAGATTTAGCTGAGGAGAAAATCACTGCAAATTGTGGTGTTCCTTGGCTAAGGCGGCTTCCAGCTTTCTCAATAAAATAGACTTCTCGCAAAAATTGGAGAGCACTGCCAGTCCTCAGAGGGCCTCCCATAAATATGGTGCTGCTCTGAATGTGGTTTAGAATATCTTCCTTCGTCTTGTATCTGTTCAGCAAAAATTCCACTTGCCCGCCTGCACTGTACTGTGCAAAGCCAATCTGGTATTTTTTAGGGCCAATGTCTAGTTGTTCAACGATCTGGGCAATGATTTTTTTTACTTTTTCAAAGTTGGCGGATCCCATGCTTTCAGAGGAGTCCAAAAGGAAAACAACATCAGCATAGCGCTTTGTAAATGCTGGAGAAAAAATAGAACAGTTAACTTTTAAAAGGCATGCAAGATGGAATAGAACCCTCATTATAATTACAACTCATTTGTGGCTGGCCATGTTCTACCATGGCAACTTTTTTAAAAGCATACCCACATACTCTCAAAATTCCACTTTTGTCAGAAAGCCCCAACAGATTATCACTTATATATGGCAGGTTGGATTTAATTAGTTGCTATGATTTCTGTGGAGTGGGGCCCAAATCTCTCTGCCTCTTAACCTCAATTCCTGTTAAGAATTGCTTACCAGACTGATAAATATTCAAGACAACTGTTATATAGAGCTGCACGCTTCCTTGCTATCAGTTTAAAGTCCGGTTGAGAAAAAGGTCAAGATAATCACAGTGTCTCTACTCTAATTCACGTGGGGATATACTGGTTCTAAACTGAAAATAGTTCAGTTGCTGAAATTCTTGTAATTCCATTCATCTTAATACATTTTGCTTGAGCGAACTCTGAGAAATACACTTGGAAAAGACTCATGTAGGATTTAGGCAGCTGTCAGAGTCTTGTATAGTGGGAATAAAGGTGATACAACATTATTAGTTACTTGTGCAAAGACAAACAATCTGTAGCCCCTTATCTGACCTTCACTTCCTGTTTTGTGGGCCCCAGAGCACGCTGCTGATGTTCAGCAGCAAAACCACCCATTTTGGAAGCACAGCATTTGGGGGGTTTCCCTCTTTTTGTCCTCAAAAAGTACAAAAGGGGTGCACAATTATGCCCTCAGATCCCCAAAGGCAAATATGTTCATCCTCACATTGCAGTGATGTACTTGCATCATCTAACATGACTCCTCCAACTCTCAAAGAGTGGACTTTTTAAAAAAATAAAAGAGCATGCCAAAATTGTCCACCGTCCCCCTTTTAGTGCCTTTAGAGATAAGGTGGAAAATTCACTGAAAGGTCTGTGGAACTTAATACTCAGTTTTGAAGTTTTTCTCTGAAAATGCAACTTTTTTTAAAAAAAAGTCTTTGACTTTCCAAGTAATCTCAGTGCTGATTTCCTTTTAAGCTTTCCAAATTAAACATTGTATCACAGAAATCACTGGAATTATGACAACACAAAAGGAAAATTGCACTGTTTGCCCAAAGGAAAACTGCACAATTTAACATGAACAAGAATAAAAATCCCTCCCGAAATGTTACATCACTCCCAGAGGCAATTTAATTACCTTTAATCTGGCTTTCCAAAGCAAAGCACATTGTATCAAGAAGATTGCTGGTAAGTTCTTGTAGGATATCAAAATTGTCAATATTAAACAAAAACTTGTTAAAAGGTTGGCTTGCAATGTTCATAAGCTCAGTAGTGTTCTGGATCCCAATCCCCACCACATAAACTAAGATTCCTTCATCTTTTAATTTGTGGGCTGGAACCTTGATTTCATCATTTGATTCCCCATCTGTGAGTAGGATGAGTACTTGTGGGATGTTCTCTTGAATTCTGCTCCCAGAAAATGCAGTGAAATATTCTTCCTTGATAAAATCCAAAGCAGCACCTGTGTAAGTGCTTCCCATCCGGAAGGTCAACTTCTCTATTTGTTCTAGAATATCATTTTTTGAAGAATATTGGTTTAGCTGAAACTCTCCAAAGATTTCATCACTATACTGGGCCAGTCCAATTCTGACCTGGTTGTGACCAACATGAAGGCTGGAAATCAGTGTGTACAGAAAATTTTTCACCTTCTGAAAATTCTCCACACCAATGCTTGATGAACTGTCCACCAAAAACACAATGTCGGCCACAGTGGCTTTTCGGCATGCTAAATGAGAAATACATTTTTTTAAAAGGAAGAAAAAGGAGAGTTCATTAGCCTTTTCAATCTGAGGTTACTTCTGGCTTCAGACACAACCTGAGAATTCCTTACTCTAATAATATAAACCTTTTTTCCAACGAATTTAATTTGTTATGTCAGAACCAAAATAAAATAGGTGTGAATATATTATTTCAATATTTCTTTGAAATCAGACAGTTATTTCTTCAGAAAAGTATTATCTAGTCCTAGGTCAGTCCGTATATAAGCTTGCTTAATGATATCCGGTGCCTGAAAAGTTATTAGCTACTAAATTTGAACCAATTTCATTCAAAAGCCCCAAATATCTTCTGATCTCAGAATAACCTCCATGCACTGCTAGGCTTAAAGCATAAGATCAAAATCAGCATTTAAAAGGAAGCTTGGAGGGAACATCTGGTGTATTCTGCTGAGGAGCTTATAGATGGAGTGATGAATAACAATGATGAGCTCTAATACCTTGGATAAGGTAAGATCAATATGTGCGTGGCTGAATCATAAAGGGATGGAGAACCAATTTCAGTACTCTTGGTATTTGGTATAATGCCCTGCTACTGCTTTCAAGCTACATCTCTTTTGATTGCAGCAGATAATAAATCTAATAAGTCTAATAAATAAATAATTAATAAACTGGCTTTTGTGCTATGGTTTGGTAAGTTAGAGTTGTCCACATAAGAGCAACTGAAGTGCCCAACTCCAGGATGCTTGGACTGTTGATTGCAAAGTAGGCAAGTAAGTAAGAACTTCAAGTTTCTGTTAAACTAAGAGGGTGTACTTTTTCTCTGTCTTTGATGCTGTTGCTTGCCTAGGTGTGATTCCAAGAAATATTGTTCACCAAATGCACCTTAGGCTATGGTGGCCTGAAAAATATCCTGTCTGATAGCACTAGGAAGCCAGCCCAATTCTTACAGAATGATAGATCACAACTAACGCAATTGGCAGGCCTGTTGTAGAACTTTCACATTTTATGAAACTTCAGATGAAATAAATGTCCCATGAAATTATTCCTGATAGGATACACTTCCAGATAAGATACACTTACCTCTTTCTCCATGGACATTTTTTGAGAATGATATTGATAGAGATATCTAAAAACACCAGGAGTTTTAAAGAAGGAGGCATGGATATCTAACATCAGTTTAGCCAGTTGGTTAGGGAGTTCTGGGCAGTTGCAGATGGATTGATTCCAGACCAATAGATACGTGGTGATTTTTCCACCATGTTCAGTGGGGGAAAAAATAGTCCCGTGAAGAAAAATGCTATGTCAGAAATGGCCATTTAGTGAAAAGGAAGAGAAAGAGAGGAAGAAAGGAAGTCCGTTCTCACAAATGTTCACATAATTTTATTTTTACCCCTCTCAATACTGTGAACGTGAAAATGTATGGTTGGCTAAAATGTGCGATCTGATACATATATAAACAGAAGTAAACCATGCTGAATTCAAGTGGGTATAGGATTGCAGAATTCAGGACTTTCAAAGTGCTGTGCTTTTTAGCCATTCACATTGCTTGGAAAGAACTAATTCTTGACCTTTTCTCCCCCCCAAAGAAGAACATCTTGTAAACTGCTTACGGCTACAAAATGGGAATTGGCAGCATATGATTTTAAAAATAAATAAATAATAGTGGGCAGTGAATAGTGTTATCCTATTAATCTTATGAGATGGTTGAGTGCTAGAAGTGGTCCCCCTTCCATAACACAACTATTTCTTAGAAGGTCTGAAGCCTGCTCAGCTTTCCACCATTCCTTGAAAAGACGGGGAGAAGCTTGCTCCTGGGGGGCCTTTTTTCAGATCAGGGAACAAGGGCAGTGAGAGAGAGAGAGAGAGAGAGAGAGAGAATGAGGTAGGGAAGAGGTTTTAGCCACTTTACAACAAAATATACTTAAAACCACCACCAAAATAAATCCTAAAGAACCCTGAGCAGCTTTTTTCATAGCAGAAAATATTAAAATCTGGAGAAATTGGAGCACAGATTTTAGTGTGGCCCTATACTCAGGAGTAAAAATGCCCTTACTCATCTACAGGGCAGCCCTCCCCAGAGATCCCTGCATACCCAGGATTATAGGATTATAGTGCTAATGCATCTGGAGTGCATAGGCTTGTTGAGGGGGGCAGGGGAGGCTGGTTCATCTTTGCCATGCGCTTGATGGACAACAGATTCCCATTTTTTACCACAAGCCTAGCACCTGATAAGATGTTGCAAATTATACAAGCCACTAGTGTTAGATTTTATTATATATAAAATGGGGGGGGGAGTAGGAGGGCCTTTTTCATATAGAAGACAGTTAGCCTTTTTGATTTACCTGGAGAAATGTGGATGATGTGTTGAGAGGCTTCCTCAACAGTAGTACATAACACTTGGAGTATGTGTTGGGAGACACCTTGCAAGCCAGCAAAATCCTCCACATTGTAAACATGCGTATCATCTGGATCACTAGCAATTTCCTGAAGCTCAGACAGAATAGCATCTTTGATGCCTATAGCATAAAGTGTGATGCCTGCATTCTTGACTTCTCCTGCTGGCCCAGAAATGTTGTCTTGACTTTGCCCATCCGTTATCACTACTGCAATTTGGGGAACACCTTCACTATGTCGACTTCCAGCCATTTCATTGAACTGCTCATCTAGCATAAACTTCAAACTTTTTCCAGTGTAGGTACCCCCACCTCTGTAGTTCAGTTTTTGTATTTTCTTTAAAATGTCCTCTTTGTGATGGAAAAAATTCAAAAAGAACTCATTGTGGGGGTTGTCACTATACTGAATCATCCCAACTTGAATTTTATCTTCTCCAATGTCAAAACTGTTGACCAATGTGTATAGAAAGTCTTGAATGATTTTGAAGTTGTTCGGTCCTATACTCCATGATCCATCCACCATGAACACAATATCAGCAACAGAAGCTTTTCTGCAGACTGAAGAAACACATGACAGTTTGCTTTCCATTTGTACCATTAATCAGTTGGTGGGGGAGACATCTTCACCTAAACTGTATTGAATGTTAAAAATTAGCTGTCACTAGCTGCCATGATCATTAGCTTAAATGACTAGTCCAATTTCTGAAATTTGCTCCTGCTTTTGATCTTTTTTGGACAATCTGGCTGCCTATTGGTGAAAACTAAGTACTATGCCACATGAATCATTATCCTCCAATTATTGTTGCAACTTTTCCCCCCCAAATATATACTATTCAATTAATTTTTTTTCTCTCCCCCACTCCTACCCTGTGAAGCTCAAATGCTAAAAATGGACTACTGCTTATTTTGAACAGCAGTGGTCTTTATTTGCTTTTTAATTCTTCTGTAGAAGCAGGATAGTATTTTTAATCTAGGACAGCAGCTCCCAAACTTGTATTTCCATATGTTTTTGAACTATAAATCTATCACCACTGAGCATGGGACAAAAATAGTGGAATAATGCTGTTGGAATTCAAAAACTGTCTGGGAATTACAGCTATATAAACTCTACTGATATACAAGAGAGTTTATTTTTACATGAGAACCGCAGAATCTAGGAACACTGAGGAAGCAAGATCCGTTCACATCTGGGGCTTCCATCCTTTCCCCTTATTTTGCATCCTCCAGTGCTACTAGGTTTGCAAACAGCTGCCCAACTGCAGCATTCAAAAATGGAAGGTTCTCCTAGCCTGGAAAGTCTGTGGCTGAATTCAGATCAATGACAGCTGCTCTACAGTCTTTGACAGAAAGTGGGTTATTACTTCTATTCCCTGAGCCTGTTTTTCCTCTGAAAACTAAAGGTATTTCATAACTGATCCCACTGAATACCAAAGCATGACATTACCGGTAGTTTGACCATCTGTGCAGCACCAAGTAGTTAAAATGGAAACAATAAGAATGCAGCTCCAATTATTCATCTTGACTGCACCTCCAGACAAAATACTTTAAAAAAGAAAAAAAAAACCTCAATTATCCATTCTGAAAAACAAAAGTCCATATTATTCTAATCCAGGATTTCCCAGTCAGTAAGCTTACAGTAACTGTTAATTTACACCAACCTTCTCTAACCTGGTGTATTCTGTGGGAATACACTTCTTGTAAAGAAGCAAGTAGGTATGATGGTTAGGGATTATGGTTGTAGTCCAGTACATATGAAAGGTGCCAAGGTAGGGAAGGCTATCTATTGTACATTGGTCATTTGAGGGATATGATGCTAAATGTCTAGATGGACTGTACTCAAAAGTATTGCCTGCATTTACACAACACATTCATGGCATAGTGTTATGCTTGAACAAATTAATATCCGCATAACATTTAATGCCAGAAGCTATGATTTATTGGTGCTAGGATATCAAACCATGGATTAAAGTTAGCTTATGATCTATGCTTAGCCCTTAATACCAAAACAATTGAGAATCACAGTTGCAGCCATTGCTTTATCTCAAGAAGTTTCCTTGAGACAGAAATGGAAGCTCATAGCTGAACCTATGGAAAGTTAAAGAAGACAAACATCTCTAAACCATGGTTGACCTGGGGTATCTCTGGAAGCTCAAAGTGTAGTTTGGGCCTTAACTATGGCAAGCACAAACCATGATTTGGTGTTATGTCAGGATTAGGCCCATATTGTCCGAATCTGCTTTTAGTCTTTTGGCAGTGGGTGGCCAGATGGGGAGTGTCATTAGTTAGGCCAAACCCCTATTACAATTAATGAAAAGAAAGCCACTGATTCCAAATTCACCACGACAAAGGAATCCTTGCGGACAAAATCAGCATTGTTTATTGTAAGCCAAATAATTAGAATCTATTGCTGACTAACTGTCATTTAGTCCAGCAGCTGTTCCAATCACTGGAGCACGCTCCATGTATTTCAGAAGCTCCTTTCAGTGACCTTCTGAAACTGTCTGATACTGCTTTCTAAGTGCATTTTTTCCCTTTATGGAAGCTAGACTGCAAAGTCAATTCCAAAAATCCTGAAAGCAGTGCTATCAGTCAAAGCATGGCCTCACAAGACAGTGTTGGTCTTTACACAGCATCTTGTACAAATCCCTTTTCAAAGTTAGCTAAGCCAAGATGCCTTGAGTAAAGCCTCATAGCCTATATATCATATGAGAAGGAGAGGGTGGATTGAAAAGGAAGATGAATGTGGTGATCTACGACAGCTGAAGCTTAGCTATCTGTGGATATGTACAAATCTAACCTCAAAGTTCAGCTTTCCTCGACTCAATGCCCTCTGGCTATCCTGATTTGGGGATGATGGGTGTTGTAATCCAATGCAGCCCAATCTATCTAGAGAGCACCTGGTTGGGAAATCTGCTTTTAAGAAGTGGATAGTGTCAGAATCAAATAATGAGCACCAGAATGAGATCTACTGAGCCTAAATCTCCCCAGACTTTCATAAATTGTGCCCCTCTATAATTTTCTTGAACAGCTCTAATCTAGAATTAAGGATAGGCTCACATCTTAGAGTACAATGTCCTCAGATTACATTAACTGGATTCCATCAAATCTTTGCTTCTTGATTGTTTTTAGGATAGTGTGAGGCAGCCTGGCTAGACTTGTGTTCTGCTCTCTTTAATTAATACCTAGATTCACAAATCATAGTAAACCATAGTGTGATGCTTTGGTTTTGGTTTAGCATGTTGCGTGAACCGAGCCATTGTGATTTATTCACTAAACAATGATTAAATAAACCATGGTTTCATGTAATGTATGAGTTCAAGAGAATTCTTGCTAGCCTTATTGACTGGTCTTTAACCATTCACCTATAGCAGTGGTTTTCTAAAATGTCACAGTAGGCTCAAACATCATGGTAAAATTCAATAGATGTAGGAAACTGACTTACCTGGTGATCTTGCTATTTCATGTTAAGTGTATCAACATTCAAGTGACAACTCCGACAATATTTTTTAATACCCATCGCTTATCAAAGAGGGGTATGCAGCATGAAACTGTCCCTGCGTGCAGCTTTTGGCTCCAAAAATATAGTATGTATGAAGCCATGGCCACTTTCCCCACCAGCCAACTGAATAACCAGAAAATAAGCTTCCTTGCCTCTTTTTTTACAAAATCCTTCATAAGATTGCTGGATTCCCACAGCAGGAAGCCAATAATCTTGAGGAATGGGAACAGTGGCAGAGAAAGAGGGAAAGCTGTAATATGCAACACTAAAAAAAACATTGTCCCAAGGTTTACTTCATCATTTGTTTAGACAATGTGCTATCAACCATGTTTCATCCAGGGGCTTGCTTCCAAGCAATCTATTGCAATGAGTAACTTTTTATAAACATAGAATTTCTGGACAGCTTTCAGAGCAAACTCACAGGACAAATATCTTGATAATAAGCTTAAATCAATTAACTTGGGAAAATAATGTGAGTTAGTAGTTCCATTGCTATGGTTTGAAAATTCAAGACCACACACATAAGATTTGTGAGGGACTCCAAATGAAACTGCTGTCCCAGTTTTAGTATGAGATTACCTCTCTCATGATCAGATGATGTTGCATTGAATGGGGGGTTTCCCACAGCACCAATTCTGTCAGGACCAGAGACTACAGGTTATTAAACAGGTGTACATATTCAAGAACTCCAAAAATGAAAAATACAGTTAGTAACCAATCAATGTAGTTTATTCAAAATATTTATCATATTTATCATACAGGATATATTATTTATTAAATATTTTATTTATGAATAAAATATTTATTCATCATTTATTATACAGGACAATCAAATCATCATTTGATATTCAATAGTTACAGTTAACTATTTGCAGGCTACCACAAAGATCTTCAGTTGTTAGTCTGTGGGCTAGCACACAGATCTAGAGCCATGGAAGTCAATGCATCACAGAGCACTTTTCCTGACTAACAAAATTTATTAAAATGCATAAACGTGGGTGAGCTGCAGTTCACTTCATCAGATACATAGATTAGCTAGACAGATCTAGGATTTAAATTGGGGTGAGATTAGTGGGGAAAGGGAGGGGAAATTGGTTCATTATGCAGATGCAGATTACATGTGAGACATATTACAGGTATCTTGTCAATTAACAACTGTAAAGTAAATCTTGCTGTCCGATTGAAGGCACCTTACCTCACCAGATCTGCCTGCCAGCCTACTTCTAGAACATAAAAGTGCCAGCTTTATCATAAGAGAGGACAGTTTGCTGCAAACAATGTTTTGACCAGAATATTGGGGTAGTGAAATTTAGATAGCTATATGACAGTGGGGAACGTGCAATGCTGAGACATCTCAAATTATATATATGGAACCTCAGTTTTTAAGGAGCAATTGCTGCTTGAAACAAGCAGCTAGGTACTAGGTTCCCATTGCAAGGTGGATGGACTTAGTTTCAGAGGCAATGGGTGCCCTGTTAGAAGACTTGAAAGACCAAGTCAGGGACAGATTGTAATGGACAAAATCTATCTATGTGGTCGCTAAGAGTTGAAATCGATGGCACATAATCAATCGATTTAAAATTTCCCATTAGAAGGAAGGCAACTCTTCATGCCTTCTGAAATCCCACCACAGAATTGGCATTCTTTGGTAAAAGGAGCCCAAATGCAGCATGCTGGCATGTCAACATGAAGATAGAAATATGAAGACATGTTATATATTTACTTTCTTTTATTGCAAAGAACAGGATGTGTGGTGGACATTTATTTATTTATTTATTTATTTATTTATTTATTTATTTATTTATCATATTTATCCAGCCACCTACAGTATCTCACACAAAGTGACTCTGGGCGGTATACAAAAATTAAAAAGAATAAATACATAAAAACAATTACAAATAAAAAACTGTAAAAACACACAAAAGAGGAGGGGATAAAATTAATAAGGGAGCCATCACAAAATCTCCCCAGTCCCCTGGGAGCCCCAGGCCTGATCACAAGTCCTTGAGGGACTTGAGAAATGTTTAGAGGGATGAAGCTAATCTCACTTCTGGGGGAAGAAGGTTCCACAAGGCAGGCACCACAACAGAGAAGGCCCACCTCCTGGGACCCGCCAAATGTAATTCTCTGGCAGACAGGACCCGTAGCATGCCTTCTCTGCCAGACCTGATGGGATGGGCAGATGTAATTGGGGAGAGGCGGTCCCTCAGGTAACCCAGCCCCATGCCATGAAGGGCTTTAAAGGTCAAAACCAGCACTTTTGAATTGGACCCAGAAGCAAACTGGCAACCAGTGCAGCTCGCAGAGCAGAGGTGTAACATGTACTGCCCTAGGGGCACACATAACTGCCTGTGCCACTGCATTTTGCGCCAGCTGAAGCTTCTGGATACTCTTCAAGGGCAGCCCCCTGTAGAGCACATTACAGAAATCCAAACAGGAGGTGACCAAGGCATGAGCGACAGTGATTAGGTCCCTCTGATCTAGGAAGGGGAGCAACTGGTGCACAACACGAAGCTGTGAAAAGGCCCTCCTAGCCACAACTGCCATCTGCTCTTCGAGCAGGAGTTGTGAGTTCAGGAGGACCCCCAGATTGCACACAGGATCTGTCTGGGGCAGCACAACCCCATTCAGTACCAAAGATGGCATAGCTCTAGCACCAGAAGGCCCCAAAACCCATAGCCACTCAGTCTTGCCAGGGTTCAGTTGAAGCCTGTTGTTCCTCATCCAGACCCTCACAGCCTCCAGGCACCGGGCTAAGATTCACAGCATTCACAGCATTGCTTAATTCACCAGGGACAGACATGTATAAGTGGCTATCATCAGCATACTGATGATACCTCAGCCCATGGCGATGGATGAGCTTGCCCAGCGGCCTCGTGTAGATGTTGAATAGGAGAGGGGAGAGCACCAAACCCTGTGGCACCCCACATAACAGGGGCCAAGGGCGGAACCTGTCCTCCCAAACCACCACCAACTGGAATCAGCCATGGAAGAAGAAGGTGAACCAGCACAACACAGTGCCACCCACGCCCAATCCTCTGAG